CCCAGCACTGCGGGAGGTGGACTCAGCCCATCCCTCGCAGCACTACCCACACAGCTGACGGCAGCACAAGGCCCCGCACTAATCCCAACAATGCTGGTCCCCAAGCTCTGCTGTAGCCCCACTGAGCAGGACAGGCCGTTCCAGAGACCCAAGGTGGCCCTAGCAAGAGTCAGCCACCCTCGGATGACAGCAGCCGAGCATGCTTGCTGTGATGGTGCCACAGCAGTGCCAGGGACAGCCTGGCATCCTGCGGCAGCCCCAGATGGTTTCCGCATCAGCCGAGCGCCGGCAGTCTCCCAGCCCACACTGTCCTGTTTTGGTGACTGTGGCATGCTGGAGGCCAGACTTGCCAGGGCAGCACTGAGGAAGGCACTGAGCAGGTTTGTCCGGACCTCAGGGTGCCGTGGGATCAGAGTGAGGCCTCGAGGAGGGCGGATGGGAACACAAGTCTCCCGCCCCTCCCAAATATTTCAAAGGTGTCTGCATCCTGTTCTTCGCTTTGAAGCATGGCAAAAGCCCAAAGGCTCTAGCAGAGAGACGGCACCCCAAAGTAGTAATAAACACTCTATTTGGAGAGCTTCACCTTAGGGAAACAGCAGATACATAAACACTGTGTACAGGGGAAGGCAAAACTGTCAGTACACAGACAGAAGTGACACACCGGACTGGGCAGCACTGGAAATGGATCCCTCTTGGTGTCGATGCACAGCACATCTAGCAGGCACCTGCCCTGGTACCATGGGATGAGAGCGAAGCAACGGAGATCGGAGTTGGAGGCCATCCAGGGCTCCCAGGTGCACAACGCTTCCTTCAGTTCATCGCAATTTTCTGCTCATTGATCAGCTCGCAAAGTTTAAAAGGACTCCCTCTGTCGTAGGAGACCAAAGTCGGACCTCAGCAGTGCAGCACGACTGGAAAACATTAGGAAGGCAAACCCAGACCAGCAGGAGCCTGTCCTAAGGGAAGATGGCAGATTCCACGCAGTGTGAGGAAAAACAAAACTCATGCACATCCTGAAGTGGGGAAGGGAAGGTACTCACTGAGATTAGCAACCAGCTCACTCTCTCCTCGCGTAACCTGACCAGTGGACACACTGGATTTTTGAAGTGCATCTCCAGCCCGGCTCTCAGCCCCATGAAGGTGTCAGCTGCTCCCCTGGCACACAGCACTGGAAGCCAAGGGCCCCAGACTGCCCTCCAGCAGCTGCCGAGCCACGAAACCTGAGGCAGCACCTCAGCTGAGCCCACCCCGGCAGCGTGGGGTGCCTGCGTCCGTCACCCAGGCTCCTGCCAGCCTCACCAGCCAGGGAAATCCTCGGAGGGGCCACATCCACTTCCTTCTGCCCCCGTGGAAGAAAACCAGCAGGATGTTTGCCATGGACTAGCAAAGTCTCAGCCCCACAGAGACACTGACGCTGGGACAAAGCCGCAGGGTGCCCGACTCAGAGCACTGGCACCAGACGCGAGGCCAGCCCAACGCACATGGCTCTTGTGGTGGGCTAGCAGGGAACAGGCAGTGCCTTAGCTTAAGGCAAAACATCTAAAGAACTTGTCCAAAACACTCAGCAGTCTCAGATGCCTGTCCTTCCTTCCCAGGCCTTTTCTAACATATCTAGTACATTAGCACCATGAAGAGACCATCAGTCTTAATTTCTGGATTTGAAACAGAGAACATCCCTTTTCCAGGATGGTACAAATGTGTAAGAAATTTGAAAGGAAGGGTTGGGCAAGTAGTGTCTAATGAAGGAAGGTTTCCGAAGGATTTGTAGTTTTTTAGGCAGCTAACGATTTGACCGAGTTATGCTACATTTTTTTGCTGCATGTAGATTTATTCCCTCTCTTTTCCCTTAAAACCTTCCTTCCCCAGAGTATTTTTGTGGCAGTAGGGAAAATGCTGCATTTCCATGCAGACCCCAACAAAATTAGGCATGAACTCACCCTGCTCTACCTTCCCCTGCTGATTGCATTCAGATCTCGGGAGATCTCCACCGCTGCCAAGACTGGCTGAGATTGGTTTAAGTCACAGGGGGGTAAAGACACACACGGTGAATGATCACGTACACCTGTTTCCATAGGAAACCAGGCTAAATGGTTACTTCCTTCCACGTGGAAATCCTCAGAGCTGGTGGCCGAGCTGTCTGGAGAGCCAGGAGCTCCAACCCCTCTCACAGCCCTCCACTCCCACCAGCAGCAGTTTGCACACCAGAAATTATAACTACTTCTTAGACAAACCCAGACAACCTACCTCCAGAACCAACGGCTGCGCAACAGCCAAAGGCTTGGACGACAATCAGCGGCTCGTGAAATTCTGCACACAAACCCAACCGGAGGAGGCACGGCAAGAGATGTCGCACTGCTGGTATTCCCTGCTTTAGGACTGCACCAAACCACGCAACCTGCACCATGTCCCTAAGTGCTGCTCGTCACGGTCTGGGAGTTCTCCTCCTGCAAAAGCCACTTCTGAGCCCAGGACACTGGCCCTCCAGGCGCAGGAATCCACTGTTTGCTCTGGTGGGAGAGGAGGCGGCCACTACCAGCCTGCTGTGAAACCCTCCTTGTACCAGATACACACTTCCTCTCACACCGCACCCACCTTCACGGGAAGCAATTACACAATGAAAACTACTCTAAGGGAGTGAAGTATTTGCTGTCTAGCAAGTCTCTTCCAGCTGGATCCTTTTCCTGACAGATTCAGTCCCTGTTCTGCTCAACGGGTGCATACAGGAGGGCAGGGCTTTGCTTATCCAGAGGGATAATGAAACCATTGTGGGCTGGCAAAGGATGTGTGTTCTTGGGCCACCAACAACTCCAAGAACAGTGCTGCAACTTGCTCTAGAAGTCTTGGCTGAAATAACTGTAGCCTCCTGGGGCAGTTGCCTCTTCCCGGACATATTGCTGTGGTGGGAACGGTCCAACAACCGGCGCTGCTCCTGGCATCCTGGACATGGAAGGGAAAAAGAAGAGGAGGGAAAAAAAGGAGACAATGTCAGAAGCGCTCTGAAATCTGCCAGCCGCAATCACTGCTCAGCAGGCATGGCTGTGAGGGGAGCAAAAGCCTACTGCAGCCAAGTCAATAACCTGCCAGAAAAGCTTCCAAGTGCATCCTTGCCCTCCATGCATGTGTGTAAACAGACCCTTTCAGCATGGCAGAATCAGCTACTGTGCAGCTCAAGGACTGCTAAAGAGCTCCCGTTACAAAACAATTGTCCTGGCTCTCCTCAGACTGCATAAGCTGGCCTGGAACTGGACTGAATGTCTGAATCCAGAATCGGCTTTCTGAAAGGCTGCAAAAGCTCAGACAACATCCACGTCCTTAAAGGGAACATTTACGAGTGTGTGTTGGGAACATCCTTAATATTCTTTTTCTGGAAATGCATACTTGCTATCCACTGATCTGGTTGTGTCACTGAAGAGCTGAAACTCTCCTGGGATGACGGATGGAGCGTGTGCCTTCCAGCCAAGTACTCCAGAGAGCCAAGGGGCCACGGGGCTGCTGCTCCACAGACAGGCAACAAGACATCCCAGCTCTCCTCCTGTCCTCCCTGGGAAACTGGGCTGGGTGTCTGTACTCACTTCAGGTAGGGTCTGCTAATACCTCTTTCCTCTAAGAAGCTCTCTACTCAACCCAGGCTCATTACTGAGCCTCTTTTAATGAAGGCTTTGAAATTAGAGATCTGAACTTTTGACAGTGCCCAGAACAACTATTTTTGGTATTAATCATCTGGCAGCCTAATTTCTTCTTTTTTTTCCCTTCGTTTTAAGTAATAATATATGTGGGGGATGCCATTATTTAAATCACCAGCTGTGAGAGCAAGTTCAGGAATACAGTCTACATTTCTGGAACATGCTGACTATGTGCCAAATCTTAAGACAAGCAACCCCAAGAGAAATTAGAATGCCAAGCAGATCTCACTGAGCCAGTCTTTAAATTTAAATATCAGTTGTTAGAGAAACGGTGTTTAATGGGTGTCAGGCTGGATGCGCTCACTGCAAAAGTCCACTCCGAGCTGAGCTCTGAAGAACCAAAAGCAACTGCAGGGTCTTTCTACTTCAGCAGCATCCCAGAGCTGTCTGCAGAGGGAGCCGCTGAAGTGAATCTGCTTCAGGACAAACAGAGCAGGCTTGCACAAACCCTGTTGTTCTGCTTGTGAGTCAGCTGGAAATACACGTTCAAAAGCGCATTTTAAGTTCTACTTAAGCCATCCATCTGAACGGCGAGGCTGGAAACATACTTAGACAGGAACATTACTTACTGATTCTTGTGTTTGAAGCCACTGATGTGAGCTTGGTACTGCTCTATGGAGTTCAGGACTATGTTACACGTGCTGCAGGGGTACCCCTTCCCAGCTGAAACAGACATCAGCGTTAGCACACACAGCTAGCCAGCAACTTGGTGCCCGAGGTAGAAACAAGTGAGATAATCAATCACACGCTGTGTTAAACAACTGCTAAACAGAGACAAAGAGCAAGTCAATAGCCTGACCAGTCGTGGAGGCCGTAGAATCCCACTACCCCACCATGCATCAGCCAGTCACTGCGAGGGAATCACTAAGCCAGAAAAGCTTTCCCGGTCAGAACAAGGGTTGGTTTATCTATGAAAACAAAGACACATTTCCTATAAACAGTTCAGAGTATCAGACATGCTAAAAGTCTCAGCATTAGGACAACGATCCTGGCGTTACACTGTCTCTGCAGCTCCATTTCTCTCCCAGATCCCCACTTCTTCTGGATCTGTACATCTCATAACAGAAAATAAGGGAGACAATTCGTAAGCTTGTAGTGTTTCAATTAAAAAAGCAGCCAGAGGAGATTACACACAATGTCCAGTTCCACAATGTAGCATTCTGCTAAGCCTTGCTGAGGTGCCAACTGAGAATATTAAGCTCTATCCTGGCTACAGTCAGCATATCAGTTAACCGCAAAAAAAAAGTTTCCAACAATAGCTGTACTAGACAGATCAATGGTTTTGTGTAACATGACAACTCCAGCTGGAATGAAAGTTCAGGAGGTCACAGATACCAAACAGGCAGCACAGCAGTCCCTAACAGGGGGAAATCCTGGCAGTTGTCCTCAAGACATGAAGCACTCCTGAGTTCCAGTTTGCTGGCGAAGGGCTCTGCCTGGGAGCCTTGCAAAGAAAACATGTCCTTAAGGTTTTGAAAGTGGGGACTCATCCCAGGGGTGCAGAGCAGCACAATCACTGAGCGAGGAGCACAATGCATGGTGAGGAAGACATTTCCCCATCCCGCTGCTGCACCTCAAGAGAGATTCCAGACTCTAGTGGGACATCCAACTCTCAAAACAGAGCTGGACCTGGGTGGGGAAGGCCAGAGGAGCTGTTATAGCCCTCAGGTCTGCGAGGTCAAGATCTCTCTGTTGCAAATCCAGCAAACAGGCATGTATAAAGCTGTCTAAACTGCACTCCTGCACCCCAAGCCAGCAGATCCTAGAGGAACTTTAAGCAAACACCTCAGCATTGAACTGTGAAGAACACACCTTTACCTGCTGCCAGCCAGATCTCGGCAGAGAGAAACACAGGGACAGGCACAGCTGTTAGCACACGGAGACAGACAAAGAGAGCAGGAGAAACATCCCTGACCACAGCCCGTCACACCCAAACTGCTCCTGGTTACAGCCCGGACTTGGAAATGTCGCTTGAACAGCCCGACTGCCACAGAGTTGTGTCTGCAGGTGCTCTGGTTCCACCAGCACTTCATGGGAGACATCAGTCACACAGGCCAGGGCACTGCCCCCCCCCCCAGCCCGCCTGGACCGGGGCTCCTGCCACTGGCAGCGCCTGAGTCACACTGAAGTGGAATCATTCATCAGATATCGCTAATTAGGTAAAGAGCAGATGGGTAATGCTGGATACCAAGCACCTTTTCCATCTCCCACATGGCTACGCAACGTGGGAGAGAATATTACTTAGATAATTGAGCCTCATTTCTCATAACTGCTACCGGTATCTAAAGGTGGCCTGCAAAGAATTAGAATAATTAATCTTCTGCTTCTCTGGGTTTTTACGGTGAGAAAGAAGCCCTTGAAGAAGATTTTAAGATGATTTGTCTGCTTGTTATTTACCTCAAGCATCCAGCAGGTACTAGACTTCCTGGTCCAACAGAAGGCTGCTGGGAGGAACAAGGGAGTTTACTGTGTGCTCCTAATGCTTTCACTGGACTCCAAGGGCTTTCATCATGTACAAGTGCTCATAAGCAGCAGATCATAAAACAAATGAGTTTTAACTGTCTGCGTAAAGTTCCTCCTTAATAGCCCTTTTTTTCCCCCTCCACACTCCTGCTTGCTCCAGAGAGAGTTGCATTAGTTCACCAGATGGAAAAGCCCACACAGAGGCAGAAAGGCATTCAGGGAGAAATCTCTCTGGCTTTCATGTGCTTTGAAGCAGCAGGTGCAGCTAAACCTATTTCTTCTACCTTTGGCTCATCCCCTCCGAAGACTCCTTTTAAGCTTCAAATGCCACTTTTATCTTTCCATTTTGGAGGCAATCACCTAGCTAGAAACAGTACTGGCCAAAATCCCTGGATTATCTGCACAGAGAATAAAAAGTACACGTCCCCGATTAGACGACATTGCAAAACACAACCCAAAGCCTGTCACGAGTAGCTACAGTCTAAAACCTCTCTTGCTGCCAGGGGGTTACAACATCAACCAAATCAATCTTGTGTATAATCAAGATCCTCATCACAAGCAATTCTCCCCTGTTCCCTCCATACAGATTCTCTCATCCGAAGACCTGTCAGACACAAACTGTCACTCTCCCACCCTGCCCTTAAGCTGTTTATTAGCCTGCCTGCGGAGAACTCACCCACGAAGGACGATGCTGGTGCATCAGAGGTTCGGCCATAGTGCGCCATCAGCTTGTGTTTGGTCTCTTGCTTTCTGTGCTTCTTGCCTACATAATGTTGTTTTGCCATAAGGGGGTTGTTGAAAGTGGCATGGCAGAGGCTACAGAACTTGTCTGGGTCAGTAATGTCCTTGTTCTCTTCGTTAGAAGACACTGTAGAGGTGGGGAGGGCAGCAGGATGTTTCTGGGGGGGAACCACTTCTGTAGGGTGAATCCAAACTCTTGGTCAGTCACAGAACTCAGAGGTAAAAACCCAGTCACTTTTTATCCCCAAAACGCACATTAAAAAAAATAACCCACTACACTTAAACCCCAAATCTAGACAGAATGTGAGAGATCTAAATTCACATTGCTCCTCCCTCCTCCCTTAATGCTGCAGAATTGAAATGCATTTGGTAAGACAAGTCCGAGTAGGTCAGAAAAGTTCTCGGACTTACAAAAACTCCCAACACGATTCCATATTTCTCCTGAACACAAGCATGGCTGCATTCAGGAAACACTGGACATGAATGAGTTTCCACCTACTATTTCCATCACCCAGCTGGAACATGGGTACAAGCCTCTGTGCAGCAAAGGCAAGCGGGTTTCTGGAAACTCCGTGTGGCTGCAGGACTTGATTCTGAACTGAAGCCACGAGAAATAGCACAAACAGGACTAGGTCTGACGTGGTGAATCCTGTTTCTGCCTGGAAGATCCCAGCTCACCACTGGCACAAGCTGCCATCTCCAGGTGCATTCGGAGCCGGTGTTTTCCCTCCATCCTGACCAGCTATAGCACCCCAGGCTCCTGGCTGCCCCCCCCCACCCCGGACAGGGGGTCTCCCTCCCCACCCAGGGTCTGCCTGGGCTGCATCCCATCACGAGCAGCCAACAGCAGGTGCTGTGGGAAAAGCACAAGATCAGGACAAGCACATTCTGATGCTTCCCAGCTACGCTCTCCCACTCCCCAGCTACCTGCTGCTTACAAGTCCCTGACCCTCAGAGGCTACATCTCCGCAGTCAAGTTGCCCTGACAAATCTGCCACATTGGGAGTTTCACCAGAGGTCTGTAAAAAGTTTCACTTTGGTCCCTGTAAACTTTTGGTGAGCACGGTATCCTGCGACAGGATTAACACTCGCTCCCTGAAGAGCAGCTCTCTCCTGGTCCCTGCACACAGGGATGCAGACAGCACTGCTGCAAGCTCCATTTCTCTGGCACAAGGCAAAACAAAAAAACCCCATGCAACTTTTTGCCAACGCCAGCCCACCCAGCACCCTGCTGAGAGAGGCCAAATCTCTGGAGATGCACTGCTGGCTGAAGTGGTTTCACAGTAAAGAGTATGCATGTCCTCGCAAGAACTTACACTTGAGGTTCACTGAACCTCTCAATTTTTTATGGCTTGAACAGCCTCTCAGAACCAGATGAAATCGCTACAGACAGTCGTACCTTCCACTTTTGGGGACTGCTGTTTCATGTTCTTGGCATGAGTCTTGCCCAAGTAGTGAGATGTTGCCACAGCCGGAGAGGAAAACGTCATGTTGCAGATGGGACAACACTTGTTCCTGTCTTCCCCGTTGCTGCCTTCCTGCTTGCTGTCCTGTGCACACAGAATCACAGAGTGGCGGACGTTCGAGGGACTTCTGTGGGTCACCTCGCCCAACCCTCTTGTTATGCAAAGAAACGCTAAGGTTTGGGGGGTGTAAGAAAACCGGGTAATCAGAGACATTTGGGTGTTAAGTTGAAGAAAGGTGACTGAGTAGGACTTCCAGGATGCAGCAAGATCCTCTCTCTCATTGGAGAGCGTTCTTGCACCAGATTACTTTTTCTAACCTGTTAAAGAACCACTCCAGGCAGAGGTGTAACCCTGGCCTGTACGGGTTAAGGACAAGGTTAAGCGTGTGGCTGCCAGAACTGGAACAGGGAGCCTTTTACTCTGCAAGGTGTAAACCAAGCAGCACAAACATGGGTATCAGCTGGGTCATCTGCAACACGATGCCAGCAGAGCAGGCGGCCGAAGCCATTCCTAAGCCTAACACTATGTGCGAAGGCATTCGCCTTTATCCCCCAGCCCCCGCTGCAAATGTTGGAGAGACAGAGATTAAAGCTGAAGCAATCATAAAAGCAGAATCTGTTTCCCAAATGAGTCACAGGGCAGACAGATGGCCGAGTGGAACTGACCAACAGGCTCCAGCTACCAGCTGAGGAAACTTTAATATGTAAAAAGAAGACTGCTCCGGAATGAGAATTCCAGCAGACAGTCAACCCAACACGCTCTCCGTGACAGTAAAGGTTACGCAATGACACACCTGACAAGTCGTTGCTCCTATTCACTTTCCCCTACGCTTT